GCAGCATCATCATCATCATCATCATCATCATCATCATCATCATCATCATCATCATCATCATCATCGTCAGCATCATCATCAGCATCATCATCAGCAGCATCAGCATCAGCATCAGCATCAGCATTAGCATCAGCATCAGCATCAGCATCAGCATCAGCATCAGCATCATCATCATCATCACCACCACCACCACCCCCACCACCACCATCATCAGCATCATCAGCATCATCACCACCACCACCACCATCATCATCATCAGCAGCAGCAGCAGCATCAGCAGCAGCATCATCATCAGCAGCAGCAGCATCATCATCAGCATCAGCATCATCAGCATCAGCATCATCATCATCATCATCATCATCATCATCAGCATCATCATCATCATCATCATCAGCAGCAGCATCCTCAGCAGCAATAGCATCAGCATCATCATCATCATCATCATCATCATCATCATCATCATCATCATCATCATCATCAGCAGCAGCAGCAGCAGCAGCATCAATCATCAGCATCATCGTGCTCGGCGGCAGCGGAACTCGAGGTGCCCCGGGCCGACGTCGCGCGAGCAAGGGCAGGGTCGCTTCGTGCCCCCGTCCCGCAGCTCATTAGGAAGGAGGCGGCCGCACGGATAGAGGACGGCGCGGCGAGAGAGAGAGAGAGGGACCCGGAATGAGAGAGAGAGATCATGAAAGGACAAGAGACAGAGAGAGAGAGGCTAAGGGAAAGAGAAAGGCTAAGGGAAAGAGAAAGAGAAAGACAGGAGTAAGAGAAAGGCTAAGGGAAAGAGAAAGAGAAAGGGAAAGAGGGAGAGGGTAAAGGAGAGAGAGCACTGCGAGAGAAAGAGACGGAGCCTGCGAACCCTGGAGTGAGCCCATGGTCGACGCCAAGTGCGACCATCGAGGCCTCGTGAGCAGATCACCGCCCAGGACCGGCTGCTTGGCGCTCGCGCATGTCTCTGGGCAGTCCTCCCATCAGCAGGAAAGCGACGACGGCGACAAAGAGGACGATGAAGAGGAACCGGGGAGGAAAAAGAACAGCAAGACGCAGGGGAGGAGGGGGAGGAGGAGGGGGAGGAGGAGGAGGAGGAGGAGGAGGAGGAGGAGGAGGAGGAGGAGGAGGGAGGAGAGAAAGGAGGAGGAGGAGGAGCAGCAGGAGCAGCAGGAGCAGGAGGAGGAGGAGGAGCAGGAGGAGGAGGAGGGAACGTCGGCGGCCTGCTGAACAGCATGTTCAGCTTGACCGCCCAGCCGGTGGGGTCGTAGACGTACCGCAGGCGGCCGTCTCGGGCAGGGGGGCTGAGAGAAGGGGGGCGGGAGGGGGACGCACAGAGGCACACTAATACTATATGCCTTCCTTGGAGGCGCGCGTCCAAGCCGAACATATAGTATACCCATCTTGTAGTAGATCGTTTCCCGAGATGTGTGACCAGAAAGCACCCGCCACGACGCATGTACCTTCAGATTTCTCGGTGCGCGCGCCGCCCCTGGGGGGGGGCGACGCACATAGAGTAGAATTAGGTCGGGCCTGTCCCCCTACACGGGGATCTTCGACGAAAAATAAATACAAAATACCAAAAAAATAATCAAAAAATAGTCCCCAAGAAGTCTGGGGACTATTTGTTTAGAATGTTTTGACCTTTTTGGGGCATGTTTGGGGTATCATTTATTTCTCGTCGAAAATCCCCCTGTAGGGGGGACAGGCCCGACATAAGAGTAGAAGTATGTTGGGGTGACGCCGACGGGAGGGGGAGGAGGGGCTCGGGGCTCACAGCCACCCGCCCCTTGGAGGCCTGGGACGTGGGCACCGGCACCAGCACAGGGGGCTGCCTGCACCAGGGGGGGAGTTGGTCCTCGATTTCGGCGTGGGTGGTAATACTTCGGTCACCTCGGAGGCCAGAATTTACCACCATCACCGAGATCGGGATCTTCTTCCCTCGATGGAGGCACTCCGCCGATGTTGGTGTTGGTGTCAACCTCCAGGCATGCGAGCCCCTCCCTTCATTTGTCGCCGCTAAATCTCAGTCGGATCGCTTCACCGTGTTTCGTTGCCGCTGCCGAACGCTACAAACCTGGTCCTTGACGCTTGCCTCACGCAGAAAGGTGGCTCACGCCCCACGGCCGAGCTCCCGTTCCGCCTCCTGGTTCGCTGCTGCTTTCTCCTGCTTTCCTCTCCCCTCCTCTCCTGCCACCGTCTTGGGTGGTGCGCCCCGAGGCAGGTGCCCAGGTAGAATTAGTAGGGAGCCGAAGAATGACATCAACATAAAAACTCGGAAGTCCGCGCGGACTTCTTGGATCCGCGCTGGACCCCCCCCTCCCTGGCGCGCCGAGCGCGCCCGGGGCGGCGCCGGAGGCGCCGCCAGGGGGCCCCAGCGCCGATCCTACAAATCCGCGCGGACCTCCGAGTTTTTGTTATGCTTATAGTCAAAACGTGTATTAAGGACGGGTGGTAAGGACGCAAGACCCTTGGAGGCTGAAGTTGGGATTTGTTGGGCGGCGGCGACCAGTGAAAACGGCAAAGGACGGGCCGCAGAGGCAAGGACGCAAGGGCACCCTAGATGAAGGCGCGCGTCCTTTCTAGGCGCGTTGACTGTATGTCGTTGGTCGTTCCCCCCCACGGGCATCCCGGAAGCCCACGGCAGGATGCGACAAAAGGCGCCCTCCGCAGGCACCCCCAGGGCGCCCCGCGAGGCCCCGGCTCGGCACTGGTCAGCGACTCCACTCCGCTGGGGCCTGCCGGGAGCCCACGAGGGGGTGGCGACGGCCTTGGGCGGCGTGCCCCGTGGCGGGCGCCCCATAAGAGTGTCGCTCCCCCCCGGGCCGCCCCCCCCCCCCCCCCAACAAAAAAAACATGAAAAAATCCTCCCCGAGGGGCCCGCCCCCCCCCCCCCGCGCTGCTCGGCGTGGGGCGCCGCGGCCGCCACGCCGCGGCGCCCCTGGGGGCGGTCACCGGCCCCGGAGACGGACAAAAAGAGCGCTGGGGCCGCGGGCTCGAGCGAGGAGGAGAAGGAGGAGAAGGAGGACGAGGAGGACGAGGCGGAGGAGGAGGAGGAGGAGGAGGAGGAGGCGGAGGAGGAGGAGAGGAGCAGGAAGAGGAGAGAAGGAGGAGGAGGAGTAGAGAGTAAGGAGGAGGGTGGCGCGGGGGGGGAGGGCGAACGAGGGGGAGGAGGAGAGGGGGGGAGGGTGGGCGAGGGAGGGCAAGCACGGAGAGGAGGGGATGGCGAGGAGCGGGAGGGGATGGGAATGAGGGACGAGGCGGAGGAGGAGAAGGAGGAAGAGGAGGAGGAGGATGAGGAGGAGGAGGAGGAGGAGGAGCAGGATAAGGAGGAGGAGGAGCAGGAGGAGCAGGGGGAGGAAGAGGGAAGAGGAGGAGCAGGAGGACGAGGAGGAGGAGGAGGACTGTTTTGGCCTCGACGGCCTCACCGCATCAGAGACATCACTCGGCACTTTTGGGAAATGCAGAGTGACACCTCCCGCGAAGATCGGCGGGGGCGGAAGGGAGCGATGCCCGCGAGTGTTACGCCGCCGAGTGACCTAGCCAGAAGCGCAGGACCTGCCAGCTTGCACCGCTGAGCGTGCCTCAGGCCTGCAAAGAAAAAACATACCTGTGGCACAAACAAAAAAACAACAAACAAAAAAAAAAAAAAAAAAAACTGTGGCACAAACAAATGCATCGCATGTGACGGACCAGAGCGGCGGCAAAACCAAGGCCAGGACACACGTAGCCAGGAACACCGGCCAAGCGCGGGCAGCTCGGGAGGGCCTAAAAATGCACAGAGACAGGGCACTGCGCAAGAACAAGAGGCCAGCAGCGGTGGCTCGAGCCGCCAGGCCAGCTGGACGGAAAGCACCACAGCTGAGTAGACTGAAGGGGCCCAAGGACACACAAATAAATACACACAAATAAAATGATTCCCCATATTTTCTCATATGTTGTGGGTTTTTGTCTTCCCCCCCACTTCCCATAGTTTCCCATATTTTTTGGGGAATCGAGGATTAATTGTGTCTGTGTGCTTCTTTTCCTCCTGATAGACGGTGGCGGCAGGGGAGCAAGAGGAAGAAGCTGCAGCCTGCATCGTGCAGCTCTCGCCACGAGCTGGACCCGAGGCCAGAGAGGCCCGAGACCCCTACGGCCAGTGAATGCACAGACTTTTGCGTCGGCGGCTGGGCAGAGGTCACTGCTCCAGCGCTCGGGGATCAGTGGGGCGCGCTGGATGCAAATAGGGCCGCGGCGCACGTGAGGAGCCAGCGAATACACACGCCAGGCCGAGCGACACGGCCTGTGGACAAAACACCACGGGCAGCACGAACCTGCGCGCCGGTCGCGCAGGGGCCAGAGAGAGGGGGAAGCAACGGGCGGCGAAGGCGAGACGGAAGGCGATGGCCAATGGAGCGTGCAGGACCCGCCAAAGCGGGAGATCTGCACCCAGAGTCCTGTGGGCTGGCCGCCTCTCACTGGCCACCCTGCGGCCAAGGCAGGAGGACGAGGAAGAGGAGGAGGAGGACAAGGGTAAGGATGAGGCCGTTGGGGGTCGGTGCCTCAAACTACGAGAGAGCGTGATCCACCGCCGCTTTACTGTGGAAAATTCCCCCCTCTTCCTCCGGAACTCGGGGGTCCCCGTCCCCCCCCTCCGAAAATCCCCCCCCCCCTGCTCAAGCCCCCCCCTCTTCCCAGGCAAACCCCCCCCGCCCTAACCACTGCCCCCCCCCTCCCCTCCGGACGGAAAACGGTGGGGATCACTACCGGTTCGAACCCACCCCCCCTCCGGAAAACCGAGGGGGGTCACTACCGGTTCGAACCCCCGCCCCCCTTCCTACTCACCGCCGGTAAACGGCTCCCGGGTCCCCACCACCGTCCTCACCGCCGCCCTCACCGCTGTTTCCAGCACCACCGTCTCTACCACCAGTGTCCCACTGCCCCACTGTTCACTGTTACCACCATTGTCCCCACTGTCTCCACCAGTGCCCCCACCACTGTCGCACTGTCCGCCCTGTCCCCACCACTGCTCCCACCACGGTCCCACTCCCCCCACTGTCCCCAGTCCCCACTACTGTCCCACTGTCCCCACTGTCCCCACTGTCCCCACCACCGTCCCACTATCCCACTGTTCCCACTCTCCTCGCCACTGTCCCACTGAGCTGTCCCACTGGTCCCACCACTGTCCCCCACTGTCCCCACCACTGTCCCCACTGTACCATTGTCCCATTGTCCCACCACCGTCCTCATCACTGCCCTCACCACTGTCCCCACCACCACCGTCCCCACCACTGTCCCTACTGTCCCCACCACTGTCCCAGTCCCCACACCACTGTCCCCACCACCAACGTCCCCACCACTGCCCCACTGTCCCCACCACTGTCCCCACTGTTCCCAAGAAAGTCCAGAGACTGGCCAGGAGTGCCCCCAGAGGATCCCAAGACGGTCCAAGAGTGCCCCGAATTGCCGAACGATCGAGTCAAGACGCCAAAGATGGCCTCCAGATGGCTCAAGAGGCCTCCAAGACGCCAGATTTTAAGGGATTTGGGCATTCTCGCCTTTTCATTGTCCCCACGCTCCAAGACGGCCCAAGAGGCACCCAAGATCGCCACAAGACGGCCCAAGAGGCAAGAGGCCACCAAGAAGGCCCCAAAACGACACCAGAGGGCCCCAAGACGAGCCAAAAGACTCCCAAGACGGCCCAAGAGGCCCCCGACCACTCCAAGAGGGTGCCCAGACGGGAGACCCGGACGGACATTTGCAGCCCTGGACCCCGAGAGGCTCGCAGGAGGTCCCGAGATGCCCCCAGAAGGCCCACAAGAGGCCCAAGAGTCCCCCAAGATGGCCCCTGGAAGCCCCAAGAGGCCTCCAAGAGGCTCCCACGAGGCCCCCCAAGAAACCCACAAGAGGCCCCAAAACTGTTCCCCAGACGCCCCCAAGAGAGCGCTCACAAGAGATCACAAGAAGCATCCCTGAAAACTCTAACCCACGTCAGCGTCGTCGTCGCCGTCGTCGTCGTCGTCGTCGTCGCCGCCGCCGCCGCCGTCGTCGTCGTCGTCGTCGTCGTCGTCGTCGTCGTCATCGTCGTCATCGTCGTCGTCGTCCACCTTCAGGGTCGGCGGCACTGGCCGAAAGGCCTGGGCAATAAGAAGAGGGGCCATGAAACCCGCCGACCCTGTCGGCGTGTGTGAGGGGCTCTTCCGTTCGAGTCGGGCTTTCCCGTTCGACTCGTCGTCGCCGTCCTCCTGAGTTCCACTCACCTGGGCCCTCTTCCTCAGACAAGCCGTCCACAGCGAAAGTAGACAACGTCGTAGTTCAGTCGAAGGAAAGCCCCTTCCCTTTGATCCCTTCCCCGCGCGGGGGGGGGCTCCCGGGGGGATCCCAGGGGGGGGGGGTCCCGGGGGAGTCCCGGGGAGGGTCGCCACCCAGATGCGTTTTCCTCCCATGGGGTATCAAGGCCAAGAAAAGCCCCAAGACGGGCCAAGAGCGCCCCAAGACATTCCCAAGACGGTACAAGAGCACCACGCATCGACGTACGATCGCCCCAAGACGTTCAAGACTGCTCGAAAACGGCCCAAGAGGTCCCCAGAAGCTCCAAGAGAGCGCCAAGAGCACTCCCAAGAGGGCCCCAGGAGCCAAAATCGTCAATTATACCTTGATTGTTGAATGATTTCAGCCTTCTCGCCTTTTCGGCTTTCCGACGGTCCAAGATGGCCCAAGAGGCCCCCAAGAGTGCCCCAAGACGGCCCAAGATGCCTCCAAGAGGGCTCCAAGACGGCCTAAGAGGGACGCAGGATGGCCCAAGAGGCGCCGAAGACGGCCCAAGAGGGACCCAAGACGGGCCCAAGAGAATGCCCAGAGGGGGACGAGGAACCGAGAATCCTAGACTTCCGCCCCATGAGGCCCCCGGGAAGCCCCAAGAGGCCTCCAAGAGGCTCCAAGAGCGCCCAAGCGGGCCCAAGAGGCCTCAACAAGCGTCTGAGAAGCCCCCAGGAAGCCCCAAGAGGCCTCCAAACTGCTTCCCAGAGGTTCCCGAGAGCGCTCCAAAAAGACCCACGTCAGCGTCGTCGTCCTCGCCGCATACTCCCCCTCCTCCTCCTGCCACTCCTCCTGCCCCTCCTCCGGAGTCTCCTCCAACTGCTCATTCCTCCTCCTCCTGCTCGTCCCCCGCGTCCTCCTGCTGCTGCCCCACCTCGCCCACCGCCTCCTCTTCCTCCTTCTGCTCATCCTTCTGCTCATCCTGCTTGTCCTCCTGCTCCTCCTCCTCCTCCTCCCTCGTCTTCGTCGTCGTCATCGTCGTCGGTCAGGGTCGGCGGCACCGGCCGTCAGGCCTCTCCAATTTGGGGAGATATCATGTCCCCCGCCATGATATCCCCCCCCTCACCCCCCTTTCCCCCCTTTTAGCCGCCCACGAAGGGAGGAGTGGTCTCGGGGACTCGGGGGGAGCGAAGCAAGGGGCAGATGAGGAGCAGGGGAGGATCAAAAAGGCAGAGCACGCTCCAACGACTTGCCGACGAGTATGTATCTCTCCTCCAACCCCTCCTCCTGATTACCCTCCTCCACCTCGTCTCCTCCTCCTCCCTCCTCCTCCTCCTGCTCTTCCTCCTCCTCCTCCTCCTGCTCCTCTGCACCAAGAAGCTCATACCCAGAGTCGGCCCCAGCACGATGGAGCAGCCCGGTCAAACTTCGAAGGAGATGCTCCTGACCCTCCCGACAGTGGCAGCTACGGCGTACGAGGGCGAGCGTGAGACAAACGGGCGGACAGGCAAGAAGTCAGCAATGGCGAAGTGGGCAGGAAGCGGCTCGCGGGCGAGGCCTCTTACAACCTCTGGATTATTGCAGACCCTCGTGCCTCTGCACTGGAACTTGATGGACTCATCGCTCTCAACATGTCGCACGATGTGCTCGAAATCGCCAACCAGGTCGACCGCGTAGTGGTTGTCCTCCCCGCGGTCGGCCGACTCGCGAGACAGGAAACCCCGCTCCCGGTGGTGTTGGTGACGGCCTCCTCCTCCTCCTCCTCCTCCTCCTCTCTCCTCCTCCTCCTCCGTCCTCCTCCTCCTCCTCCTCCTCCTCCTCCCCTCCTCCTCCTCCTCCTCCTCCTTCCTCCTCCTCCTCCTCCTCCTCCTCCTCTCCTCCTCCTCCTCCTCCTCCTCCTCCTCCTCCTCCTCCTCCCCTCCTCCTCCTCCTCCTCCTCCTCCTCCTCCTCTTCCGCCTCCTCATCCTCCTGCGCCTCCTCCTCCTCCATCCCCTACAAACCTCCGACGGCGTGGCTGCTCACTGAGAGGGGCCCCATCGGAGCTCTCGCCACCCCCCCGGAGCCCGCATCCCCGGGTGCGCCGAGCGAGGGGGGGGGGGCAGGAGAAGGGGAGGGCGCATCATGGCCAGATGGCCAGAGGCGCGTGCGCGGAAGAGGGGGGGCAAGGGCCAGGGAACGCGCCTGAAAGAAGAAGAAGAAGAAGAAGAGGAAGAAGAAAAAGAAGAAGAGGAAAAAGAGGGGCCATGAGAAGATTCGGGGGATCATCCTGCCCCGACCACGACAGCCGCACCCCCATCTCGGTCGGACCGATCAGAAGAGGCGGGCTCCTGCATTGGGGCATCCCCCTCGCGAGGCCAAGACGTGGCCAAAACCCTACGGAAGTCAATGTGATTCTGGCCTTCTCGCCGAAGCCTCTCGGGGCGTCGTTGGGTGCCTCTGGGGGGCCTCACCCCCCGCGGGGGGGCCAAGACGTAACCCAGATCCTACGGAAGCCGATGATTCTGGCCTCCTCGCCGAGGCCTCTCGGGGCGTCACTGAGTGCCTCTGGGGGGCTTTACCCCCCGCGGCGGGGCCAAGACGTGGCCCAGATCCTGCGGAAGCCGATGATTCTGGCCTCCTCGCCGAGGCCTCCAGGAGTAGGAGGAGGAGGAGGAAGAGGAGGAGGAGGAGGAGGAGGAGACGGAGGAGGGGGAGGATAAGATAAGATAAGACAGCGCCTTGGAAAAGGTCGGAAGGTGAACACACCAAAGACTGGCAAGGTTACACAAAATTATGCCATCGATTGAGAACTGGCTTCTTTGGCCTTAACTCGGGCGAGTAAGGCAGCCATTCTCTGCTCATACTGCGGGGCCTCTTCTCTAGAGGAGAAACCTCTGGGGACGGACGACACAGACTGCACCTCTTTCGGGCTTGCGAGAGTCGCATCAAGTCGAGAAATGGGGATGGCCTTATCCAAACGTTCCCTCAACCTTGGGTTTGGCCCTAACCCCCGACGAAACGCGCTCAAAACCTCGAGGCCCTTAGACGTAGGTGCTTCACAAGTCTTAGCAAGTTTGATCATCCTTCCCTGAGTCCAGCCACCACAGTTGAGACACAAAAATTGTTGCTCCTTTATCTCGGTGCGTCCAGAACCCGAAACAGGACCCGAGGAAGCACCAGAAGCAGTTTTGAGAGCCGTTCCCGACACGGCAACGAGGGAATGGCCCATGGGATCCTCGAGCAACTTAGCTATCGCCGTGGGCGTGCCCTGACATCCGTCAGCAGGGCGATCACCAGACGAGCTGACAATCAGACAGTGAACACATTGAACTCCAAGCTCAGTCCGACGCCATTCGTGCCAACTACGCTTGGCTCGAGACCGCTGCCGACTAGGCGGGGCACGTCTCCACCTCATCTCATTCCGAAAGAGCGGGAGGCATGCACTGGCGAGCTTCACAAAAATCCCTGCTCTCCTCTCAGCCTCCTCAACAGAATGCAAGAAGGCTGGGGTGGGGGCAGGATGGGAGGCCAGGGCCAACTTCGCATGGTTGTCCACAATCTTACTGGCCTGGCCGAACCGATATTCATCACCTACAAGCTGGTTCAACTCTTCATCAGAGCGGTGGGCCTTCACATGAAAAGCCTCCAAAAACTTGGAACCATCAAGTTCAAAAGCGAATTTTCGGATGCCAGAAAACTTATTCTGAGCCTCTAACTGCTTGGCCACAGGTCTCTGAATGCGCTGGATCACCCCAAGACAATCGAGACCGAGCCGAGTCGGGCGATCAGCGACCTGGCCACACAACGCAGCAGCAACGTGCTCCGCAGCAGCTGGGCTCTGGGGGAGGGTGCCTGGAACAACGCCTCGTAGCACAGCCTCCATGTCTGCCGTACTCGGCGAGAGCAGAGCAATCGACCAGGCCGCACGTCGGAGCGGCCTAAGCATCTGCTTGGTGGCCGAGCCGTCGGCCGCGAGCTCAAGCGGCTGTCCTGGCGGAACGAGGGCAGCCAATTCCTCGGGCTGACGGTCGAGCTCGTTACCCTGCCCATCGAAAACCTCACAGGACGAGCTGAGGGAGGGAGGAACGAGCTGGGAGTCATCATAGACAAAGATGCCTCGAGTGTGCAGACAATCATCCGTCTGAAGGGCAACCTGCAACGACTCATTGGGGACATCTTCACAGGCAATCTCACGGGCAGCCAGCACATCTGGCCTGGTACACGTGTAGATGCGATGATGCGGGGTATCTACCTGCCCGCACTCACAACGACCACAACTAAGATACCCCGCATCTTGGGCCCTCTTCTCAGTCCAATTGGCATCACACGCTGCACACTTTAACAAAAACTGCTGCTGCCGAGTGAAACTTTTCACACGTGGAACCATCTTGTCCCTGACCAGGTCCAGAGTGGCCCGAAAACCAGGAGGAAAACCTAGTTTTTGGCCCATGGCCAGCTCAGCCTGCCTCTGGAGGCCTGCTTCAAGCAACTCCTGCAGCATTCGAGGTGACACTAAACTTATATCGACGGGATTCTGATGGTGATCAATCCAAGCACAAGCCTCGGGAGCCGACCAACCTGCCCTCTTGAGACACAAGACAACTCTACTGAGCGGGCCTCGACTATTCTTCCAGTCAACGACGCTGCTCGCATTAGCCTGTTGCCACAAGGAAACGAAGGCAGGGAAACTTAAAAGGGCTCTCTCGGGCGCTACCTTGGAGATCCAAACCATCCTACTCCATTGCAAGACGGGGCCCAAAGCAGCACGGACGTCCCACTCTCCAAAGAGGACCAGTTTAGCACTAGCTGAAGTGCCACCGTGCATGGGCGCCTGTCGCCTCGACTGGGTTCTGCGCATTGACGCCAATTCAGCATCCGAGAACCCCAAGACCTCAGAGCCGCACGACGACGCAGGAGCCAGGCCAGTACGCAGGACCCCTTGGAGGACTTGTTTTGGCTTGCGCTTTATAAACTTGCGAAACTTACTGATCTTTTTGGCACGCTTTTGCATAGCCTTCAACCTACTCCTAAGTTTGGGTCTTGTGCCCTTCGCAGCACGTCGCAAACCGGCGGTCGAATCGACTCCAAGATATGTGACTGCCTTCTTGACTACCTTGCGTTGCATCTGGAGACTTGCTGCTACATCTTTAGCCAAGTCCTCCGATGACGCAACTACAGCAATCTTATCATTCAGAGTGGCACCAATATTACGACTGGCAATCTGGAAATCTTTTCCCGCCGCCACCGCTAGATCCAGGGCTCGCTGCCGGTCTGCAGCAGAGATCTGGATGCCTGAATCATCCATGTACGACATGAAACATACGAGCGATGGCGGACGTGAAACAAACCAGTCAAATTCACGAACTGCGTGTATTTTTATGCACAAGTCATTGAAGCAATCACCTGCTGGAAGACCGAACTGTGCACGCATGCAATCAAGCGAGTGATGCTGGCGAAGCCTCAATATTCTCGGGGCTTGCCAAACATTAAAAACTAACTTTAGCACGGGAGACGGCACTCGGAACGCTATGCATTTATCACGCAACTGAATGAGATCAATCGTCTCATAATATTTACTGTAGTCGGCAACGACTAGAACCGAAAAACGATGGTTGACAACATCGGCTTCGCTCCTGGCCGCTAACACCCATGCACAATCCACAGCACTCCTCCCCCGAGTAGCCCCCCAGTACCCACGGTCCAAAGAATCCAACACATCCTTGAGCATGGGGCGGCGGAGCCTTTGCCAAATGCGATGCATGCCAGAGTAAAGTACGATTAGCCTATAACCGCTTGTCGGTTTCGGCAGCATTGGCATTAAAACCCAGAGCAATTGTCGGGGCAGGAGACCTATCGCTTCGCAGCACTGCCACAGTTTAGCAAGAACCATGAGGCCGCTATCATCTAGCAGCTGAAAATGACGAGGGTGCAGTTGATCGAGAGATCTTGCTGTGCCCTCAGGAAATGACCGAATCACTTTACGTATGTCCTCAACGCTCGCGACTGGAAAAGACTCTCTATCAGGTATCCATGCCTGAGGGGGAATCGCTCCAGCTTTCCAGAGCGCCTGATACACACGAGCTTCATGCTGCACAACGCTATGGGGGTCAGCCGTGGGGCCTAAAGGATCATGGACGACCGTGGGGGGACACACACTCCGAACCTTGGTGATCCTATGTAGGCCCCTGGCTCCCCCTAATGACGCAGTCTCACACCAATCATTCCAATCGGCATCAGCTTCACGATTAGCAGCTTTCTGGGCAGCTTCAACATCTTCCGTAATCTGCTC